AACCCCCCCCCCCCCCGGGAAAAAAATGAAGTTATTACCTTTAACTATATGATGGCAAATTTCACCCAAGTTGAAAAACAATGAATGGAGTTGGCACTTCTTTCATCTTTGATGACTTGGCTACTGGTTTCATTCTAGTGGAAAAATTAGTATATTTTTGGAGGATCCGACACGGGTGCGACAGCTTTTTGGAGAGTCCGCGCAACATAGATTTCCGCTACTCTTATGATTAGAATTTGGATTCAGACATTAACAGTTCATTCCTCNCAGCTTCAAACTTGTAAGAATTACCAGTAATATATCAGATCTTACAACAAGATTGAAACTTTTGCACTGAACAAAAAGTTTCAACCAATTCTTGAACAAGAAGAGTAGGTTCACAAAACATCAAAGTGGCCAACAGAAAAAAATGAAAATGTGGACAGAACTGAACCACAAGTGTTCAATAAAAATCCAAATTAAAAGCCAAATTATTTAACAAATATCAGAAACTTAAGTATAATAAGAAGAGGAACAAGAAAATTTTGGATGGAAGACTTACAGTTTGCCATTAGAAGAGATACAAAAGACTCCAGCTTTTCTTGAGCATGTAAACTACAGTAATGCAAATAGTGAAGAAAAACAGGCCATTCTTGAAATTGTGCTAGTTGTGTAATCTCCAAGAATAACTAATCACACATTCATGTTTTTCTGACAATAATTCAGAAAATATTACACTGCAAAAAGCTCTGAAATCACGGGAACAATTTTTTTTGAACACAACTAAAGTAAATTATGCTTATAATAAGCAAAAAGAACTGAAGATAGGAAAAAAGCAGAAAACAGAAAGAGGAATTTTGAAGGGACAGCAGATTTTGAGAAGCTAAGCAGAAACTGACACAAGAGAGAAAACACAGACACACACTCTTTTTCTCTCTCTCTTATTTTTTTTTTTCAGTTTCTTTATTTTCTTTTAATTTTTATTGTGGTCTTCGTTCCAAGAATAAAGTCTTTGTTTCTATTTTTATTCCTTTTTTTTTTTGTGTGTGTTTTACAGCTCTTGGAATAAAGTGTAATCAGACAAGGAAAGTTAGAGTAGAGTAAATGACAAGCTAAATTGAGCCATAATTTCATGGGAAGACATGGAGAAAATTTTGCAAATCTATACTATATTAAAAGCAAGAACAAGAACGTCCTTAATGAAATGTCGTCCGCTTTTTTTACCCTTCAAAATTAAAGTTTACACTAGACAAAATAGTCATTCAAGTATTTTCTAATATTTAAAAATATTCATTTAATTAATTCATCGTTATTTAGGAATAGTCATTTAATTATTTTTCTAATATATAAAACTTTAAAATCAACCGAAACTTTACTTATTAATAAGTTTTTTCTTATTTTAGTTATGTGGATTAATTCTACCTAACTTTGCATCTGAAACGTGTGTAGTTAACTTTTTTATTTTTGCATTTTCCTTTAACATATCGAGGGGTTTGGATTTTTGCACTCTAATAAGCTGGATAAAAATAATAATTTTTTTATAATTTATTATAATCATACATTGGTCAATATGTTTACCTGCATATAGATTTTACATTGAAGAAACTTTATAGTTTAATTATCTTTCTAATATTTAAAGTTTTAAAAATAACTAAAATTCTCTACGTGAAATGTTAGATCGATATTTTTATCCTTTGAACATAGAATTTTTATTGGATGATAATATAGTTATAATTAAATATTAAACTTGGGATGATCTAATATTAAAAATTTGAATGAAGAAAAATTATTTCCTCTACTATTGAGAATCAATAATTAAACTTTTGAACTAATTTAACAAAGTAAGTTTTTGAATCAACTGATTAGTTAGAAAATCCAATTCAATTATTTTACAAATTCATCATATAAGTAACTGCAAAATTTGTAGTGCACATAATAATATTGATGGTAAAAGAAATAAAATAAATAAAGCACAATTAGTTACACCATAGTATTAAGAGTCAAATTGATAAAAATACAAACTTAAAGTAATAAGGATAAAATAGTAGAAGACAAAATAAATTCTAAATGATTATCATTAATTTATTTTTCCTTTGCATTTGTCCGGCAAATGATAAATTCCTATTATTTTAATTTATTAAGTTATGTATTATAAAATATTAACTCAACATTAGTCATTTATAGACTTTACATTGTCACTTCTTTTTTCTTTCCTAGGAGCTATAGAGCCAACATCTACATTCCCAAATGTTTAAAAGACCAAAAGATTTAATTTTTTAATTTGCTTTATTTGACAAATATTTGGAGAATTGCAATGAACTATTTTTGTGTCACTTGTTTTTTTCAAGTATTAAGTTACCCAAAAACAATAATTTTTGTAAGATATTCCCAAAGAAGTCCTCAAAATCACAATAAGGCATAAGAGGACTTCTACGAGCATGATTTTTTCATAATGATCTAGTTAAATGGGATCAATATTCATTATTATATAATTTTTTGTAATTTTTATTTTATAAGCTAAGTAAACAATAAACATGACAACTTGTGAAATTTTAGCAATGAATAAATCTTACATTGAAAATATTGACTAAGATAATTGACGACTTCTACATTGCCATCGTTTTTTTATTTATTAAGTTGCTAAACAAAATCAACAATCATCATTTTTAGGAACTCACATTTTTTCATGAACTTGTTTTATAACTCAAGTGTAGTTAGTTAATATAATATTTATGTAACTTTTAGAAAATAGATATTTATTGAGAATGGATACACGCGCAACGCGCGTATTGTAAGACTAGTTACGTAAAAGAGAGGATTGGCTCTATTATGGATTTATGGTACTTATTTTATGGAATGTATTGTTAGTAATGTTATTTCTTTCGACCTGAAAAAAAGGAATAATATTTTTTTGAGAATTTATGATTTATCCTACAAATAAAAGAAAGATAAAAAATATATATTCTAATCAATGACTTAACTGGTTAATCCTTTGTTAAGTCATGAAATAGTGTAACTTTGTTATCCCTTAATAGTTGGGAATTAGGATTAATTGTAGGCTTGTAGTTATTTCTTTCGATCCACTTTAATTAATATTTTGGTTATTTTTACATATATTAACAAATTCATGGCTTCCAAGGCCAGGGTCGACCCCTTCCTTCTTATAATAAGAGAGAGCGAAAGATGAACTGGCCAAAAAGCTTACTATTTGAACGGAATTCCACAATTGCAGAAGCTTCGGTCTCGATAGATTATATTTTTGGTTAATTGGGTAGGTGTCGATAGCAGCAGAACCTTTGCTTTGGTCCATACCAGGGGAAACCCTTCCATAAAGCAAGTAAGGCAACTGCTTTAGGCCCCACATTTGTGGGGGGGCCATTTTTTGTTACATCTAATAAGCTATGTATAAGTTTAAAAAAAGTTTCTGTGAAGTGAAAAAAATTGATTTATTTCTTTAACAAGAATAGAGAAGAAGGATTTACAACTGCTATGATTTATGCCACGAAAATTACACTTGAAATAAATATCGGACCCGAATTTCGTAAGAAATATATGATATACAGATAGTAACAATCTGATGAGAATGTTGATAATATAATCTCAAAATCTTTCGAAGAGTCCTTTGGAGTTGATTACCTTATACATAATAGACAAGACCATTTTTTCACTTCAAAATTGATTTGATCAATTCGAAGCATATGAAAATATTTTTGGTTTTCTATTTAGCGGTAAAAATGAAGATCACTAGATGATGAAAATTTGAAAAAATATTGTCTTAATCTTGAATGTTGCTTAAAGCATAATAATCAATTTGATATTGATGATTTATATTTATTTTCGAAATTAAAAATATTAAGAAAAAAGTACAATTAGAAGATAACTGTTTAATTAATACACTCTGTGAAATAAAAAGATTTGATTATTTTTTCAATGCCTATATTACTTATGGAATAATGTTAATAACTCTTGTTACCGTTGCTTCAGCGGAAAGAAATTTTCAAAATTAAAATTGATAAAATCTTACCTAAGAAAAATAATGTCTCAAGAAAAGTTAAATGGATTAGTTATATTGTCAATTAAGAAAGACTCATTAGGATTTATTGATTATAAAAAATTATTAATAACTTTGTATCTAGGAAACGCTAGAAAAATAGACTTCAAATAAATAAATAAATAATTTTTTTAAAAAAGTTAAGGCCCCTCATAAAGTTTGGCTTTAGGCCACAAAACTCGTCGGGACGCCCTTGGTCCATACCACAAAAAAAGCAAAGATCTATGGTTTTCTTTGCTCTGCTTTTAGCATTAACTAATAATATAATTGACCATATTAACCTTAATATGTTCATTGAAAATATAACAAATACTCCTAGGCTCTTTACTCCAAGAGCGACTTTGAAAAAAGGAGTTAATTCCTTCTTGATATTTGAAAAAATTAAATACTGTGGACCATCAATTAAAATGAAGCGGACGGAGTTCTTAAATTTTAAATATAGTTCCTCCGGTCCACTTAAAGTGATTTTTTTGGTTTTTTTCACATATATTAAAGAATTCACCTTTTAGCATTAATTAACAATAAAATTGACTATATTAACCTTAATTTATTCATTGAAAATATAACAAGCTACTCCTAGACTCTTTACTCCAAATGCAACTTTGGAAAGAAAAAGTTAATTTCTTCTTGATATCCGAAAAAATCACATATTATGGACTACAAAAAACTACTTAAAATGAACCACAAAGAATAATGATTTTCACTTGGGATTGCCACGTGTCCTCCCACATTCGAAAATGACTTTTTTTTTTACAAACTCTTCTTTCCCATCTCCTCCATCAAAATAATCACTTTTCTAAGTTAACTCACAGAATTCAATATGAATATCAATAATATAAGTGGGGTCTGAGAATGATGAAATGCAAGTTGAACTTATCCCTACGGTATGTGAGGTAGAGTGTCATCATGTTATATATTTTATTTAATTTTTTACATAAAATTTAAATACTTATATATAGTTTGAGGTTAAAGCAACAGGTGAGTTGACCATATTCCACCTATGTCAAATTATTTATCTTGTTTCTCTTTTACACGTTCTTTAAGAAACATTAATTAGGAAAAGGATTAGACTATTTTACCCTTATTTATGTCTTAAGCTAAAATCTCTCTTTATTGAATAGTTATTCTATTTATATGTTATCTCCATCTTCAATAACAATTATTACTAAGGGTAAAAAAAGGAAAAAAAATAATCAATTTTGTTTTAAACTTCTAAAATGACAAATAATTTAAGATAATTAGTTTTAATAATCACGACTGTTAATATGAGACGGAGGGAATATATCCTAAATTTGCGTCAGCCTATTAATAGCCTAAGGTATTAAATAATAGCGAAACGTGCGATCTCGTATGTGTTTCCTAGAAGACAGGCAGCTTTGGCCATAGACCATGGCCATTTGTCTCAAGTCGGTGTTTGCAAATTTGGCCTCTTTTACCAACCTAACCCTACTTACATTATTCACATAAATAGGAACTCTATTATATGCAAGTTGCACAATAATACTTTGCTAAACTGTTTGGAAGTTACAAATTATATATAGCAAACGATAAAAATCTGTGACAAAGTTATGGTCGATTTTAGAAATTTAACATTTTTCACAAATGAATTTTATCAATTTGAATAATAACTACTGCAAGTTCTCTATCAATTCTAAATCTATCTTCTGACGGATTCAATCAAGAGTTCGTGAATTCATCAGTAATGAAATTTAATTTATATATATAGTGTTACCAATATTGTAACCAAAAAGGACAAATGAAACTTAAATATTTCAATACCAAAAAGGATTAGTTTATTGCAAGTACTAGTTCTTGCTCCACTATAATAATGCAAGTCAATTATATGAAGCACATTTTACAAGATTGACAGCTTTTTTCATGAATAAGTACAGCTACTTGTAGTTGTGCCTCTTCTTTTAACAATTAAATAAACCTTCATTAAAATGTTGTATCTCAAGTAGACAAACACCAACTTTCACCTATCTCAACTGCTAATAATGGGCACCTTCAAAAACTTTTTGTATCTTCACTTACCATTAATCCACACAATTCAATTGGAATTTAACTTATATAGATGGACTTTTACACTTAAGTGTATTTCAAAATGTAGATACCGGCAACCTGCCTTATTTTTCAGGTTGTTAATCCCACTTTTTATGTACGGTAGCCTGCAATTATCTTTTAGGTAAGCGTCAAAAGGTTATTTACTTGTAAGCGTAAAAATGTTAAACTCTTTAATTTTTAGGATGCCTATATATAACTGATAAAGTTGTTTCTGTGTGACCATATGAGTTCGAGCCGTAGAAACAGTCTTTTGCATAAATGCAAGGTAAGCTGCGTATAATAAATCCTTGTTGTCCGGCCCTTCTCTGGACCACACTGCACATGTGAATGCTACATAGGACCAAGTGAGTTGAAATGATCCCAATATGATTCGACAATATAAGTAAAAGGATTTCGGCTCATGAAACATAACTTAATTAATAGCATGGCTGAATAATAGTAGTAGAATTACGACGAATAGAACAATCATAGACTTAAAGTTTAAACCAGAAAATGTATATGACTAGTAATACTCAACAATATTCAGTTTTTCATTTGCATCATAGTTTCGTCATTCGTGTAAGTTCATATGCTACTACACACTCACATTATCAGTAGATAGTCAAGATTGTTTTGAAGCTTATTGAGTAAAGTTTAAAAAGAGTAATTTTTCTTGGATTTTGTAGTTAAAAGTTAAAAATTAAAAATTACTAAACTATAATGTGAATTCAAAAATCATAAATTGTTCCTGGATTTTTTTGAATTTTGCACTAGTAAAGGTTCAAAAACCAGGAATTGTTCATGGAGTTTGGATTTTGTTAAAAGTTCAAATTATTGGATTTTGAAAATTTTAGCATAATTTACTGGAGTTCCACTTGTCAAAGTTTCGAACTTCATCACTAATTACTGGAGTTCTGTTCCATATTTTAGTTGGGAAAAAATACGTCAATTTAATCAAACAAGTGGTTACTTTGCCACTACAATTTAAAATATGGCTAAACTCTAATAGTCATCCCAAAAGATAGGCCAACTCCGCTATTTTTTTTATTGAATGTGATGCTTGTTTGAACAATCATGAAATGAATGTTGTGTGTTTCTACTACATACGATCCAAGGAGTAAGTACAAACTCAGACATTATGACTTCTTTAGATTAGGTTTTTGAATTTATTTAAGGAGCATCGTTCCATTAGTAATCTGGCTAAATATTCAAGGTTTTGAGATCGTTCAAGAAATGTTCATAGGATCATGACAGTGGGCGGATCTATAGCCCAAATTATGGGGCACGTTAACCCACCGTCTTTTCGTCAAACTAAGTATTTTATGTACATATTTTTTGAATTGGTCTAACACCCATGTTCCAAAAAGATTGAATAGTGTGCTTGGTTGAATATTAGATTATTTATCCAGAGAAATATGGATGAATTCATACTAAAAAAAAAATCTATTTTCTTTTTAGTGATGTATCCGCGTTCAAGAAATTCTAGATCCGCCTCTGATTCAATGCCACCCAACTCTTATTAAAATGCGTGGCATGTTTGTTGAGCAAGTCTCCGTCGAGCCGCACAAATATAATATATATATATATATAAGTTTTATATATATGTGAAATTTATTTTGTATTTTCTTACTTGTTTTTAAATAAAATAATCGGGTGGCTGTGTTTTTTTTTGTTTTTTTTGGTGTGTGTGTAAGGGGGGGGGGGGTGCTTTTAAAAAATTGATGCTGTAGGTACCGTAATTTATCATCCTTTTCTAGGGAAAGAATAGTTTGTATGTGCCGAGTCGTCAAGAAGGTAGGCTGCTATTTCATGTGTATTCTTGAGTTTCAAAATGATAACGATTCTCCTCCTTTAAGATCTATATAATTTTGATTGCCTTGGCTGTCAATTTTGTCTCCAATATTAATAGGATTAGATGTATTGTTTCCGAAATTTGTGAATAGAATTTGAATCTTCTTTACACCCAACAAGAGTATCGAAGGTTACTGCACATATCGTTACTGAACTGTGGAGTTTATGTCCTATAAAGAAAGAAAGCAACTGATAAATACAATCAAACAAATTTTGTTGCAAAAGATCTTAATCGGTTAGGATAGTTTGAAAGTCAATTTGCCCTTCAAGGAGAGAAAAGGCAAACATGATTAAGGAAATCTTTTTGAAAAATATTAATACCCTATATATAGAAAGAAAATGAACGCCAAACGTATGATGAACAAGTAGAGATGTATAACTTGCATTGCATAGATTGCATATTAAAATTACAGCATAGAATCCATTTTAAAGTTAGACTAAGTGTTAAAGGAAGGAGTCCTCCCATCAATGTAAAATGCACTTACAGAATCTCAGTTTAGTTTATTTCACACGTAATGGGTTCTCAAAATGTAACTTGTGATTAATGGACAGGTAGGGGTCAATGCTAACCCCCACCAAAATGGAGGATTTTAACCCCCACCCCCCAAAAAAGCATTCTTGTATCAATCTAACAATATTAATAACTTGAGATATTACATGTCTAATCGTCTGCATAAGTCGTTCACAAGGTTACCTCTGGGGACTTCATAGTCAATAGCTGCAACAACATCCTTCAATTTTACAACTCCTTCGCTAAGTTCACGTTCACCAACAAGTACCATCCAAGGGATCCTCGAATCTCTGGCCCGATCAATATGCTTCATCACTTTTTTATGTATCATGAATTCTGCTTTCACTTTAGCATTCCACAATTCACCAACCAACTCAGCAGCTAAAGCACTGTCATCACCAAGAATGCTAACGAGAACTTGAGTTTCAGTGGCTCGGATTTCCTGGAAAATTGTACACTTCAGGGAAAAACATGGACAGAGAGAGAGAGAGAGAGAGAGGAGAGAGGAGCTTATAAAATCATAGGCGGACGAGAAAAGCACATAAAGGTAGGCAATGAAATGGAGCTAGTACTCCAACAAAGTTAGGACATCTTCAGACATGCAGACTGCACTTGCCATTGAGCGGAGAAATAAAAAATGAAAAACCAAGTAAAACAGAACAGTCTCTGAATTGTTCTCCACCAACCCCATTTTCACTCTACATTTTCAGTTTCTTGTGGGAGTACATTCGTTTATTAACTGCATTATGTGCACCATGAAATGCTAGGGACATTCATCAAGTCTTGAGTAGGTTTGTAATAGTATCAGTACTACCGCTTGTTATCATATTGAATTATGTGAACTGTCTCATTTATAATCTTAAAAGAAGGCTCAAAGATGCTAGAGATTGGACACTTTTATTTACTTATTGATGTGCAAAAAGGTAGAGAAGGTGAAAACTACCAAAGTCTATTTCAGAACAAATCAGATATGTTTAGCTACTATCACCTGATTCTTGTCTTTCTGAACCTGTTCCATGATTGCAAATACTCTCTCGATTCCCAGACTAATCCCAACAGCAGGAACCTGCCGTGTGCCAAACATCCCTATTAGATTGTCATAACGTCCACCAGCAGCAATCGAACCAACCTGCAGGCATTTCCAGACCAGCAGTAGTGCTCAGAGAAGAGAAACTTTCATTTATGAACATTTCATGCACTGAAAAATATAATAGGAACAACAACGTAGGAACCGAGAGTTATATATTGGTATATGCCATAATCAAACTACTAGAACTTCACCATCAATTTGATACACAGATGGGTCGGACTTTCATCAGGGTATAATGATCGGACATTTAAAACGAGGCTGCACTTGGAGGCTTGGAAGCATGCTGTTCACCTTGCAAAGAGTCAATTACCTAGAGTAGCGTTCAACTCCGAACATAGTATGTGAGTCAAGAGGAATCTACAATTATGTACACTAGTTACTCCAGTTTAGATTACTTTTCAGTAATATGAAAGTCAAAGCAAACTGATCAAAGGTACTTGAGAGATACTTTCGACTCCTGACAATGTTGAGAACTCAAACAATTTATATATAAACTTCTTACATGCCTGAATGCACAAAATCTGAATTGAGTATCACCACATCAACAAGCCAAAGTTGCAAAAGCATAGCCAACTGGAACTAAAAACTCCTTAGCACACTGAGAGATCTACCTGAGTAGCTCCTTTAAAGACAGCTTCGAATATGACTCCTGTGTAATAGTCAAGACCTCTTGCAAGGCTCAAGTCAAAAACGACTCTGTCAATACACCTGGACCTCTCAAGAGCTTTAAACATGATGTCTAATTCATCCAATGCAAGTGAGGATTCATTGTTCTCCAAGAAACTGCGTTCCTGCTTAAGCTTAGATAATAATTCCACAGGAGGTCCCCTCCATTTGACAAATGTACCAATTCTGTCTGATATCTCATCACTTAAGCCTTTCTCATCCACCTGGTACAAAATACATGGCATTAGAGTGCTAATGACATGCTCGCTCTGTTTCAAAAAGATACTCCTTCCGTTTCCGTTTCACTTTAGATGATGTAGTTTGACTTGGCATAAAGTTAAAGAAAAAATTAAGAAGACTATTGAAATATGTGGTCCTAAAAGCGTAAGGGGCAAAAACTTTGTAGGGCCATGACATTTGTGTGGCTATAAAAGCTTCTCATTAAGGGTAGTGGGTAAAATGAAAAGTTTAAAGTTAAATTATTTCCAAATATAGAAATGTGTCATTCTTTTTGGAACGGACTAATAAGGAAAGTGTGTCATTTAAATTGAAACGGAGGGAGTAAAATTTTTGACAGATTTTTCAACATAAGTCTCTTTAGTATTTCTTTTTATGAAGACATAAGTCTCTTTAGTAATTTGATTAAAAGATCTAGAAAAGCAGTATTTTTCATGTCATTCCTAAGTCCCTTAGGTACATATTGACATCTAATTTCACCTGTGAAATTGATCAATGGCCCTTGAAAAGTAAATGACTGAAATATGAGCAATCTTAAGAGGCAGGAACAACAATGATTTTAGAAAATAGATAATCAAATATTTAAGAAGAAAACTACTCAGTAGGAGAAACTAAAACGATTCACAGATTGCAGTGAGATACTAGAAAAAACCATACGAGGGAGTAACCTTAAGAGAATCCTTACCTTATAACATGCTAGAAGTCCACAAGAACATATGAAAAAAAATGATTTATAAGAAACAAAGTTAGATTTTGCATTGAAATTCAAGATCATCCTGGTATCCACACCCCAAGGAAAAAGCGAGGGAAACATAGAAGAAATTAAACATTTCTTCCGTTCATTATATTATCCTTTTTTCAATGTTTAACACCAAAACAGACCAGTTAGTGGAACAGTTCAACTGGGAATCAGTAGCACTGCCGTCCAGTTAGACCAAGTTTTGACTTGGTAAAGAACCTGTGAGCTATGGTTGAACCAAACCAGACAGCATCAATGGGTCATCAAAATTCTCATCTCATTGCTCTCCTGATTGGCTTTAATATTGTAAACACCGCAAGAAAAAAAACTCAAACTACTCTATAGCCTGAAAGTTCTGGAATTTAGAGCACTAAATCCCCCCAACAAAACAAATATGCGACAAAAGCCAGGGAGGTGAAGGAACATTGGCAGTCCAGCAACGCACAAGAGAAGAAACGAAGTGTAAACCTAGGTTGTGTTTCAAGTAGTCCAAACAAGAGAAAATTGCTTAGGTTATAGGAAGAGAGGATACGATTCATTAGGTGTTTTTGCTACATTAAACAGCGCATGAATCAGCATGTTTAGTTGCACTTGTTTTTCATTTTGTGTTAATTATAGGAAAATTGATCCTCTAGTCACACATATTATAGACTAGGAGTTAACAACCGAGCCCTGAGATAGCTTTAAGATGACCGAAATGCCAACATATGGAGAACCAAGAATGAGAGAAACCAAAACTAGCAAGCCAGTACTAAGCAAAGCACCAGTAACTGATAAAATATTGAATAGCTATCTTAATAAAATGTACAAGTTTATGCCGACCTGAGATGATGCCTCACCATTTCTTTTTTTATCTGCTCAAACGATTGTTTATCCAGCTTGTCAATGCTTGAACAAATGGTTCTGAATTTCTCTTGTGGCACCCCGCATATAGCTAACATACCATCAAGCAGCTTTCTGTGATTAAGCTTTACCTGAATAAAAAATAGATGCTTTACATAGTTAGTTAATGTCATACACCACTAATAGGACAAAGGATTCCTAAGATTGTATGAGAAACGATACCAGAATGTTCTGGATTATAAGAAACATAAAGAGAATATATACACAAATAAAATTGGTATAACTCCGGGCAGATATGCATAGCCACAAAACAATTAGAAGATTTAAATTGCCCCAATGAAATAGCCAAAAATACTGTGGTAATGTAAGATAATGATTTGAGAGCATGCACAGGGAGAAAAGGGGGCAGGGGAGCGAGCAAGAATCATAAGACAATCATATTTCAAGTGATGGGGACTAAATTGTGTCCTATCAGGATTAATATCATTCCAAGGTCAACTAACAAGCATTGGTTGAATTTGGACATGGCTTGAGAACCATTAGAAAGTTTACCTCATACTCTCCAATATCAAGCT